AAAAAAAAAAAAAAAAAAAAAAAAAAAAAAAAAAAAAACAACAACAAAAACCAAAAATAAAAACCCAAGAAAAGGGCACTTGAGGCATCCTGGAGGAAAGGGGCGGGTGCTCAAGCACCCTCTGCCCCCCCCCTCTGCACGTGCCTGTACAGATACGTAGGAGAGGAGCGAATGAGGTACTCTGCGTCTTAAGGGGAAGCCCGAGCGCCGCCATATGAAGTTTAACCAAAAACACGTATTTAAGTCAAAGTTAAATTAGAAATGAATGTAATGTATGCTAAATTACCAATATATGGCTTGTATGCTAATGGTAAATCAACAATTAGAGGCCGTTACTGTAATGTTAGCCAAAAGCAGGCTGAAGTGGTTCAGTAAATGAGTTAAAAGTTGTCATTTCTAGGAGCATTTTAGATTCTATGAGCTAGCTTTCATTTTAGTAAAGACAAAAGGAGATACAACGCACTGGTATGCTTGAATCCATAACGTTTAAGCAGTGGGTTACCAGTGCCCAGTCAGGTCCTGATATATATTAGATATCGCCACGATGTCATAAATATCAAATGTATATATGATCAAAACTTAATGTCATAATGATCTCACAGTGACATCGCATCAGGATGTCATATAACATCATACTGTCCTCAGAGGTGGATTTGGGGGGGCAATAGGCAAACATATGTACGGGTCACCCCTTACTCCATTCTTGAACCCATAATAATAATTAAGACCAAGGCCCTTAATTCCCAGCTACAGGGGTGCTGCATGTTACCTGCACTGTTAGACATTTCTGTGATTTCTACAGTTATATACAGTTATATACAATATTGCAAATTAATTTTACAGTAAATAACTAGTTTCCACTGCATCTTGGGAGTCCTGGCTGATGCCAAACACTGTATGTAGAGATTTTTTTTATTGATCTTAATGACTATTTACTTTTGGCGCCAACTATTTTTAGAAAGACTCAACATAATTTTCACCCTTGAGTGATCTGAACTCCACACTCTACCTAATGGATAAGGTTCCGTATTCACAAAGCATCTTAAGGCTAAAAGTAGCTCCTAACTTGCCTATTTAGGAGAATCTCCTAAAAATTATGGGTGTGTAAGACCTAAATGTTGGAATTTTTTGACTAAGAACAATTCACAAAGGTCATTAGCGCTAGAAGTGCCACCTAAATCTGGGAGAACTAAAAAGTATTCAAGAGGACTCCTAAGTCACTAACACCAATTCACAAAATGTTCGCTGTCAATCCACGTCGAAATGTCTTGGAAACATTAAACGAACGCTGAATTACTTAAAGGATACCGCCTCAATCGGGAAGGAATAATAATTGTTGTGGAGCTTGTATATCTATTACATAAGTTGATAAAACAGACAGCATCGCTATGTACTGAATTCGTTCAAAATACAGTACAGCTGTAATGCTTTTCAAATTACTGAACTGTGTATAATTCAAATACGCTATAATACAGTACAATAAAATATAACTTATTATAGTTTCACTGCTGCATCTTGTTTGCTCAGTTTTTGCAGTTTATCATAAGCTTTGATTAGTCTATATTTGTCACTGAAAAAAAAGACTTTATTTTTACCGTCATGTTTTCTATGCAGCCTCAGATAGAGTTAAGGTCAGAATTATTAGTCCCCCTAATGAAATCACATAAAACCCTTAATATTTCCATGGAAATTACCATAACAAAAACTGTATTGCTTCCAAAAGAACAAAGACAAAATCTCCACAGTTTAAGATATTCCATTGATGGGCTGAATTTTAACAAGAAAACTGAAAAAGGCCAAAATTATTAGCCCCCTCCTGACATTTAACGGTCAATAGTGTGGCCTCTCTGTCTTACAACTGACAACAAGCTCTCCCTGTAGTTCTTAACTAGGTTGGCA